CTGAAAAAAGGATAAACTTTCCTTAAAAACGCAGGTTAATCCTATGCAGAATGGACCCAACATAAATCAATTTAAATGCATGGTGACTAAGCAAGATCAGGTTACTGCATGCTACATCATTTTCTGATAAGAACACCTTACATAAGTGTCACATTTAATGAAAGGGTTTAAATGTCAGATTTTACAGGTTATCCAATGAGAAGTGAGAGATCCTGGTCAAATGACCAATAAATTAGTAAAACGGTCTTAATCTGTTGATTCAGTAGAACACAAGACAACAGAGAAGAAATGTCTCATTATAGACCCAAAATATTAAGCAGCAAGTGTTTAGAGACCAGACATGTGGCTCCAACAGGTTTAATGAACTGAGTGGTGCAACACATCTGTCTTTTATACATTTGGTCACTGAAGTAATAAAAAGAAGCCCTTAAGCATTTTTCACCCTGATCAAAGGTTCACCCTCAAGGCACACAGCCAGCCCAAATAATAATCAGCCAACAATTAGCAAACCACTGTCATCAGCTTTGCCCTCCAACTATGAGAGAGGAAATGAAATCCTTCACTTCCACAGAAGCAACGCACCGTTAGGCAGAGAACATCAGGTTTCAGCAGTGAGCAAGCAGCTATTCCAACACATTCTCACTCCCAGCGCGTCAAAAACAAAAGCTTGGTCAGCCACCCTCCGCCTCAGACCCCTGATGCCAAAAGTGCCTTTTTTCGTTACTTATGTGGGAAAAGGGGTTTTTCCCTTTTCTGACTGCAGATCCCAATGCAGCGTTACACTGACATGATGGGATGTCCGCAGCCAGGGCACCAAACAAGCTCATTGTACCTCACCTTAACCTTATCCTCTTATTTAACCTTCCCCTCACCCCTATCCTAACCTTAACCATCTTGCTAGTGAACACGTTAGTGATGTGTCGGCTCTATGAAGTGAACGGTGGGAGCCGCCTCGTCATTGGTCGAGTTTGGGCCGAGCCAACGCGAGGGGGAGGTTTCAACTACAACGGTGGACGTTAAAAGTAGAGGGTATTTGTAACTTCCCCCTCGCCAGATGGTATGTTCTAACGTTCCCCTTGGGCGGCAAATACGAAAAATTCACAGTCAGAATGCATGGGAAACAAACGCTTGATCACAGTGAGAGTAATGTTTTGGGTAGCAAGAGGGTTAAGGTTAGGATGAGGGTGAGGGGAAGGTTATAAATAGTGAAACGTTAAGGTTTAGGTGCGGTTAAACGAGCTGGTTCGGTGCCGCATCAGCGGATATCTCATCATGTCAGTTTTACGCTGAATTGGGATCTGCAGTTACAAAAGGGAAAAAAAACGTTTTCGCACATAAGTAACGAAAAAGGGCACTTTTGACGTCAGGGGTCTGACGTGGAGGGTGGCTGACCAAGCGTTTGTTTCCGACGCGCTGGGAGTGAGAATGTGTTGGCTATTCACATATTCTGCCTGAAGACTAACGACCAAAGACAAAAGCATCTCCTGAACTCAATCACTACTCAGCAAACTACGTTTCTTTACATTTCTTTGTCTGACTATCTGTTTTCAGATGCACCATCTGGTCTGATGTTTCTGCATAAATATTACTCTAATTGTTTTAGACAACAGCTTTCCTTTGGATTTCTGGTCATTTCTATATGATTTGAGGAAAAAACTGGGATGGTAACTCTGTTGTTGATGTTTGTCGGTTTGTTGGTTTCCCAGTTTGGCCAAAACAGCTAAAACAACAGCTATGAAAGTTAGCCATAGCTTATGTTCATCATATATTTAACATGCAAGTCACACTTTAAAAAACTGTCTTTTGCTGATAACCTGACGAGTGTCTAATAATGCTGTACAAATGTGTAACTATTCATGTGGCAGTTTAGTGCAACTTAATTTAAATTTAAAGAGCCCCAAACCCTAATTCTATCTCCATCTTCAGGTTAAAAACTCCGCTCCGCATGTATGCAGAATCAGCTGTGGTTGATGGCTAAGCTGAAAAAAGTGACGTCAGCAAATGACTACGTGGCTGCACCGCACTGGTCTCCAGGTGAGGCAGCCGCACCGCCACCTGGCTCAGCCATTCTGGTCTGGCAGCAGTCCGTCTGCTTTAGCTTAGCGTAAACAATGGAAGTGAACAGCCATGCTCCCTGCAGCGGCGGGTTACAGCGGTGCTTTGTTGTAATGTAGTCCCAATCTGAAACGGCTCCTGGAAGCTCCTCGTGTTACTTCTTACTTTTAATTTGCAGTTGGCATAATTATTGAGCTCACCAGGAATAATTGGTATCAATATTGAGTCGTTTTAATCACTTTTACACACAAAATGTTAGTTTCTGATACCTTGTTTATGCGAATCTAAAGCAGACGGACTGCTGCCAAACCAATGTTTGCATTTTGTTGCAAACAGTTTTCCCTCAATGAGACACTGACTAAAGTTATCATGCTAACATAATCATCAAATAGTTTGAACCACATCACATGCTCACACTGTGATGTAACTCAAAAACACCTTTCAGTAATTTGATTGCAATGCATTAGGTTAATCGCTGTTGTTCCTGTACTGACCTAAAAGGTTTTAGCACTTACAAGAACTTTTACTTTAGCTACTGTGTTATCAGAGACTGCTGTGTGATTTGAAAGCAGTTTCAGTGAATTATTTTAATTAAATCCTTAATTTTCAGTTAAAAAAACATATATAAGTGGTAGATGTGTCAACCTTGTAAATTAGGCTCAGCTGGAATATGACTGAACAGTAAACCACAGGTTAGGTTAAAAATGTTAAATTTAAAAAGCACATTCAGTAGTATATTTTCCAAAAAGACACAAATGGTTGAAAAAGTAGATTTTCATCACAATACCAATCAATTAAATACTATAATTTTTTTTATTATATATATATATATATATATATATATATATATATATATATATATATATATATATATATATATATACTCATTACTTTTCCCGCAGCATCACAGTTTATCCGTTGTATGCTAGAGCCTCTCCATCATGCTGTAACCTTTGCCTGAAATGTTTATCACATAATCAGGCAGGAATCTATTTTCAATATATCAGAACATCATAATCCTAGGCAGGGCATCCGGGGGATGCTCAGAAATGCGGATTTAACAGTCACATGGCTGAGGGCAAAAGAGGCACAGAGATTGAGAGCAAAAAGCCTCGATCAAAAAACACATTTTCCATGAGATTTACTTTCTTAAGATGCAGTCCCAAGCAAACACATGCAAACCATCTCATACAAATCCTGTTCCAATGAAAGCAGAAGGGATTGGGTCGTGATAAGAATGTGGATAAGAAAGTCGTGTTGCCCAAAACAACCAACAGGTTTCAGTGGCGGTAACTTAGATAAATATTTTCTAGTCACTTAAAGATTCAGTAAGAGATTTTTACATGAAATGAGTGCATGGGCATGCTTATTTTTACTGAAATCAGGTAGAATTTTATTTTAATGAACTTTAGTTGTCATGGTCCGTTGTGAGCTGCCTGCTTTTAACCCTGTTTTCTGCTGAGCATTGTTTACAGGTGGGCGTGTCTGAGAGCTACCAGCTGCAGCTGATCCCATCATCAAGGCCCAGGGGATTTAAGGAGCAGTGTGACACTTCACCACGCCGGATGATTACTCTGTTTGGGTAGCGTTAGCCTCTAACCTGTCTCGTATCCGTATCCGTATCCGTATCCGTATCCGCATCTGTACCTTATTCCAGTTAACCTGCCGCCTGAAATCCCTGAATGTCCTTCCCTGCTCTCCTTCAGGTTTCTCTCCACATTCCATCATCTCCAGAACCAACCCGGACTCCTGCATTCCAGACCACACTGCCTCCTTCCCTGGCCAACTGCTCTCAGCCGCTCACCTGCCCTCATCAACCTCAGCTCCTACATCTCTGGATAAATCAGTTCTCACCTTCTGGATTTCCTCTGCTCACCCGGACCTGACCAAAACCCTCCCTGTACATTCCACCGCTACCAAGAAACAGTAAGCTCAGCCTCAAGATTAAATCTCCATTATTCCTCTGGATATTCACTCTGTCTCCCTCCCTCAGAACCTCCTCCTGGAATCCTGCTGCCAGTACTGAGCATCTTCGGTTCCCGTCTCTCCTTTAGCTCCTCATTTAAAAATAAACCTCTTGACACACTTACCTGTTTCTTGAAGTGATTCTGCATGTCGTGGGTCAAGAAATGGCCACCCAGCATGACATTAGTGACCAGAATTACTAAAGATTAGTGTAAAAATTTGACCCCGGCACCACAAAAAATAAAATGATCTCAGTATTTAGTAGATCTTCCTTTAGCAGAAATAACAGCCTCTAAACACTTCCTATAGCTTCTAATGAGTCTGGAAACAACAATCATAAAAGAGCATTGAATAAAAACGGGAAACATAAATGTTAATCAGCTGAAAAACAATTAAAACAAAAGATCAAGGCAATGTTGCGATCCCTAATGCTGAAGCGCCATTACATAAAGTCTTCAGGTGAGACTTAAAAACTAGAAGTGCTGGCGCCTGCGTAACGCGCTGTGCTGTGGGTGGAGAAAAGGCTTCCTCTGCATCACTCTCATATACAGCTCCTTGTGTAAAGTGTGCCTAATAGTTGAACGATGCACAGATGCATCTGCAGCGAGATGATGTTGTAGGTCTTTGGTGCTGGTCTGTAGGTTGACTCTGACTGTTCTCACCATTCTTCACTTCTGTTTATCTGAGATTTTTCTTGGTCTGCCACTTGGAGCCTTAACTTGAACCAACTATGTGACATATTTAACTGAATTATTTTATGGTAATGACCAACGATTTATACAGGAAAACCACGAAGATTAACAAGACTGTCCATACATTCACACCTGACTGGTTTCAACTGGCAACCAGAACAGTGAAGGTGTTTGGAAATGTTCAGAATTTACCAATCAGAAGGAGAGCTGCTGATGCTCTCTGTGATGAGTGTCAAATAAAGAGGGGGATAATTTAGCCCATTTGAGCTTGTGTGGTGTTTTACTCACAAGGCACAGCATGACGATACAAATTGGCTCTGATGGTCTTCTGCAGTTCGTGGTCAGGCGATGACTTCTGGAACCTCAAACTCAGGAAGTGTTTTAGGTCCTTGTTGAGTTTGTGACCTGCAGATAGACAAAGTCATCTCAGGTACACAAACACTGTGTTTAAAAAAAATAAAGCCAGCACTTTTTCATTTTATAACATGAACAGAGTAAAGGCCTCTTCCACATAAAACAACGCAACAGGACTGGATGCTGCAAAATGCACAAAACAATTAGAAAACCTTTTTATGAAAGTGTGTAAAGCATCAAAGTAGAAAATCAAAAGCCTGACTGAAGATGTTCCACTGCTGATCATTTTTCATTAAATGACGGAGGCAGAAATAGGTTTCAGTAATTGACTAAAAGGGTTCCTGATTGGATGGAGATTTCTAGCACACTCAGCACCCATCCAATCAGATGTGCTGATGCTGCTGGCTGCGTTTGAACAGAGCTCCGCCGCTCACAATAGGTCCAGATGGTCAGATCTCGCTCTCACGCCAGGGTCTCATTTAGGAGCATTTAATGATCTCCAAATATATCATCCATGTCTGCCAAAGCTGGCACGTAGTTTCAGGGGGAGGTGCCGTGGGCTTCTGTCGGCCTCTGATCACAACAGAGTGGTCTCTTTGGACTAAGGATGGCAGGATTGGATAAGAGTTAAAGTAGCTTTGTCTTTAAATGACAGAGACTCGAATCACAGCAAAGTCTTTGCATGAAAGAAAAATCATACAAGGATTTGAAGGGAGTTAGGGATTGGTTGGTTGTAAAAGAATGATGAGCCAGGAAAGCAGCAGTGCTCAAATCCCAAAAGAAAGTCAGAGAAACTAGGGAAAAAATAGAAAAGACAATCAGCTCAGAGACGCCATTGCTGCTGTGTACACAAAGAAAACTGCTCATGTGACTTGAGGTGTGGCTCATCAAGAACCACATCATCACCTCCATGTCCTTCACCTATGGTTGTGAAAGCCAAAGCAACACGGCTTCATTTAAATGCCTGGTTAAGGAAAAACTACAATCTAAATCAAACCTGCTCCCAATATTCTTTTAGCGAATTGAGGGGTTTGTCGGAAACAAACAAAAAATCTCAAATTGTGCCACCAAAAACAACACTTGGGCCAGGATTCTGCCTCAGGCTGATGTTTGCAAACATAGTTGATACTTGCTTCTGGTTGAGATTTTTTTCTGTCCAGACGAGGAGACACTGCTTGATATTCTACATTGCTGCATTTTTCCTGCTTCTCCACACACACACACACACACACACACACACACACACACACACACACACACACACACACACACACACACACACACACACACACACACACACACACACACACACACACACACACACACACACACACAAACCCTCTGTGTAATTCAGTGCAAGCGAAGCACAGTCAGGTAATTGTTACCTAGCAACCAGCCAGTGCTGACGACCATGATTACAGTCCCTGCTAGGCAAGCAGAAGTCTGATTGTAAAAGAAAACCCAGATACAGCAGCACTATCGCTCACTCTGTCACTCTCTCTTACACACACACACACACACACACACACACACACACACACACACACACACACACACACACACACACACACACACACACACACACACACACTATTTAACATAAATAAACAAACTTTCCATTAGTGCAACCTTTGCTGCTCTTTTCTGATTTATAACGACCGCACCTAATTAATTATAAAATATGTTACGCATATGTTAGTGTTTGCTCTCTTCATCCTGTCAGTTCTGCTGGCTCAGATGATTTCCCTGAGATAAAGACTCTTGTCAGGAACAAGCCTCTCCCACAGGAACGCATGGTTAGCAGGGGGGGGGGGGGGGGGGCTGCCTAGGTGTCATGCTCTATCAATGGGAAAGTCATCAAATATTTAATATTTATGTGGCTTAATGCTGTGTGAATCCCAGATTACAATCACCCCCCGGTGTCATAGGTGTGAGTTTGCTAGCACTGCATCTGTTCTGTATTTTTTATCACAAATTTTATCTCACAAAGCAGATGCAGATGATAAAGTTATGACACATTTTACCTGCAGTGAAATTAAATGAGCTTAACCCTCTGGAGTCGGTGGTACACTTTTAGTGTTCACCTTTATATTTCACTCTGTTCATTGTTTACCATGTTTGGTGTCATTCCTTTCAGCACAACCTCATCAATGTGAATTTAGAGCCATTTCTTCATTTTGTCATACCGTATCAGCACACTGAACCTGAAATTACACAAAAAAATCTAAATTCAAGTAGAAAAAATGACATATGTATTGCAGTGAAAACCACAAACTTTTGTAACAAATCTTTTTCAGCACTCAAAATGAAACTATATGATGTGAATACAAAACAAAAAAGGTCTAATATAGCAAACAACTGTTCAAAGTTTGCTAAATTGCTTCTCAGTTCAGAGCTGAATTGGACCGAAACATCTTGAAGAACTGGTGACTGGGATAAAATAAAGCATGATTTCAAACAAATGATGTGTAAAGTAACATAAACGAATACAACTGGAAATGCACCATGTGTATGATACACTGTAGTGTAAAGCGCTTTGGAGTCCTCTGAGAGGCGCTATACAAGTGCAGGTCATTTATCATTTATCATATTGAACAACAATGCCTTAACTGCTGGAGCAACGCATCATAGAAACATGCAGGAGAGCTAATTTGCAACTTTGAGTTTTTCCTGTAAAGAGCAAAAACACTTTAAATGTGTCACAGAACGTATTTTGCAGAACATGTGAATTTTAAAGTAAATTCATCTGTATTCCTGCGCATGCTGTTGTAGCACTGTTAACAGCTCACAGGCAGGATTGTCCATCCTTAAAGGCATAATGTGCCCTATGTGACCCAGAATCTGTGTCATTCAGTCATTCAGTCCACGGGACAGCTGCTGTTGTGTTGTTGTTAAACAGCAGTTGCCTAGATTTCCCCATGTGAACATTTCTAATGGTATGTCAGTGGGAATACTGGGGATACTCAACAAGTCAGAACTGTTGAGAGCTCCCTCACCACCTTAAAGCCCCTATAGTAAAAAAAAAAAAAAAAAGTACTACCTCCCACCTAGGGTCATTTTCTAGGGTACAAAATTGGGATAACAGTGTTTTTTTCCCCATAAAAGTATTCCTGTTATCCTGTCAAAAATCAATAGAGATAAATCCACTGTCAGACAATAAGATAGCTCCTTTCAGAGCTTGGAGGGAATATTCTTCAATCTCATAACCCTAAAAATCCCTCCATCAGGGAGAATCGGTGACTCCAGAGACATTAGTATATGGTGAGATGATGAGTCCTTTGGAACATGGATGTATGTGGAGCCATCTGGTGAAAGGCAGGGATTGACTCGTTTCAAGTCCGATGATGCTGAGGAGAGATGCGTGAGGATGTGAGGTCCCTGTCTTCTTGCAAATAGACGCTCTCAGAGCGAGATGGATTTAACCCAAATAGGAGCGGATTATACAGTACACATCCTCTATGCTTCCAGTCAGCATTACATAACCTTAAATCTAGTTATGCATCCCTGTTTCATTTTAGGAGTGGGGCTGGAGGATGTCAGGGAGTGCAATCAAACCTCTGAAGATGAAGGGATTCACACATTCGCTCACACATTCATGCACTCATGCAAAATGTCTCAAAGAAGTGATTCAATTGGATGAGATTTCATAACACCACTTAGCAAGGTATTTGAAAAGAAGGGGTTATTTGGAGCGGGCTGAAAAAGAAAAAAATAAGACTGGCCAGATAAAAACAGAGTAGAGACATATGGGAGCTGCAGCCTAAAACATCAGCAGAAGCCCGAACCAAGCAGCTGCATTCTGTAGTAGAACACAACAGCTGCTCCTCACTACAAGTCATCGTTACTGCCTGTCAATCACGACCGGAGGAATAAACCTGCCAGTGATAGCCATTCAGAGCAGGGTGCTGGTCAGCCAATCAGCAGCTGCCTTGCTGTCTGTGTGTGTGTGTGTGTGTGTGTGTGTGTGTGTGTGTGTGTGTGTGTGTGTGTGTGTGTGTGTGTGTGTGTGTGTGTGTGTGTGTGTGTGTGTAAAGCTCTGCTCAGCTGCTGATTAGGATTCATCGTCAGTCCTCTGGCTCAACACTGCCCTCTGTGTCTCCAAGCCTCATGCCTCTGCTTCACTAGATGTGTAACTATGGCAACCCAGAGCCTAGTTTAGCTCTGTAGTCAGTAAAGTATGCTGCCCTCATGTGGCTGATTTTAAATGAGCGAGGCACTTATCATCATATGGTTTTAGTTAGGAGTTCAAGACTTAAAATAGATTTGAATGTCAACTACTGTTAAAAAGGACAGATTTAGCTGCTATTTGAGTCAGAAACAGTTTAGTGAGCTTACTGTCTTAGGCTTTAGCTTCTCATAAAAGGAACATATTTTAATTTAAATGCAATATATCCAACATGAGTTTGAAAGAAAAAAAACTTTATTTAAATGCTTTAGCTGATTAAGCCACCTAAGCCTATCGTATACATCATTTGAGAAATAAATAATCTAAACTCGAGGGGTGAGGCAGTGTTGCATATTCCTGAGACATAATACACTTTACAAATATCTGGAGAAGTTGTGTCATAATAGAGGTGATGATGAAGATACTTCACTCCTCATCAGAGGAACTTTTTTTTTATGTCAAACTCAAAGATTACTACAGTGTGATGTAAAATATTTCCACAATCATAACAGAAGCCCAGCTGCTTTAATCAGTCATGCAGGGAACTTTTTTTTCTTCAGTTTTTAAGTAAAACACAACGTCATATAAAATAGATTAAAAGGTACAAAATTAAGATCCTTAAAGAGCTAATAGTTGAATACTTGCAGTTTGCTCTTAAAAACACAGACAAAACCAAAAAAGTCAAAATCTGAGTACAGAAGATAAAGGATAGTTTCTTAAGAATTAAAGGAAAATTAGTTTTTGGGGAATCCCCTGGTTTGTGCAACAATACCATTTTGTTTAGTTTAATTTGGCCTTTCTTTATAGAAATTCACACAGTAAAATAGAAAACAAATTGTTTATCTTTGCTAATCACAGATTGCACAAAAACAATCTACACAGGTAC